TCTGTCTGTCTGTCTGTCTTTCTGTCTGTTTTGTCTGTTTGTATTTCTTTCTTTCTTATTTTTCTTTCTTTCTTTCTTTCCCTCCCTCTGTCTCTCTATCTTTCTGTCTCTATCTATCTATCCATCTATCTATCTACCAACTGTTTACCTGCAGCAGGCAGAAGAATAAGAAGGGCGAAGGCGGGGTTCATTTTGATGGATGTGGTGTGACGTCACAAGACTGCTGGATTCAACGAGAAGATTCTGTATAGATAAGAAAACAGAAGAAAAGAAATCATTAATTTTCTGGACTTTCCCAACAGAAAAAAGCAACAGATTAACGAAAGAGACTCGTAATTGACATTCATTATGTCTCCGAGGATCGGACGAATCGTTAGCAAAACCTACACTACAACAGAAGTTGGGTTTTTTCTTTTTCAAAACTTAATTTGTTACTGGGTCGCAAGCACTATAGTTCCGGCTTAATATTTGATTTTATCTTACCAACTAAACTGACGACAGTGAAAGAAAGTGCCGAGCTGCGCGATAGCCTACCTGAAGAGTGAAAGAATTAATTAAGTTCGTTGTCTTAAAGAGATAAGACAAATATGCTGAAATTGTCAAAGGTAAGAGATAAGAGTGTCTGGGGTGTGGGCTAGAAGGAGCATAAGAATACTTCACAAAAAGTCACTTTATTTCGTTTGGCCTGGCTTTTTCGCAATTCCTTGAGGTTAAAAAAAAGTAGCAATTCAACGCTTCGTTTTCAACATCTGTTCCGCTGCTTCCTTCGGAGCAGAAAGTTCTCAGCTCTTTGCACCATCCTGCACCATATTTTGCCACGTTATGTTAGAGTAGTAACAAGAAAGGGAAAGCAAAAACAGAGATGTCTAGTGGACAGATAAAAATTGACATGTGGAGAAAATCACCACAAAAAAAGAAGGAAAAGAAAAAAGACATACAAAACTAAACGGGAAGAACCACAGATGTCCATATTTGACGAAGCAGAAAAGATTTTCTCCATTTCTTTTCAAATATATATTTTTCCGACCTCAAAATACGTCTTCTCCGTTATTTTTCATCTGAATGGCTTCATTGACTTACACAACGTGCGCCCATAGGTGATCTTTACTGAAATATAGCCTTTTTTGTTGAAGATAATAAGAAAATAAAGTTACAATCAGTGTATTTGTTGGGAATTTCGAGATTTTATTTTTATTTGTCCATCGAATATATTTCCAAAGTCCATAATTATTTTCATAATCGTAATATTACTAGTCTGTCCATTACATAAGTGTTGTAGTTTGTACTTACTAAAAATAAAAGCCAACGGACAAAACATAAGAGAGAAGATAGCTTTTGAAATTTGATGAAATTATCCAATATGGCGGACGTTTGCTTGGTTACCATATGCGTATAATAATAAATAATTACTTGAATTTATTCTTTGATGTCTAATATAAATAATTTTCATCGTTTTTATAATTAGTCATGGGACATGGATTTTTGAAATTTCACCAGCAGATTTGAGATAGATACCCAAGGACCATAGCAAAGTCCGCGTGGCAAAACCCAAGAAAAAGTAAAAATTGGACATGTGTGATTTTTAAAACTCAGTCTTTAATGTGATTTAAGATACTTAACTTGGTACAGTCTAGTGGCTATGTGCACCGTGACCTTACAGATAATTGACGCCACTTGTTTTTGTTTTTGTTTTGTTCTTTTTTGTTCTTTTTTATCATTCTTTTAATCAAGTCCCTACATCACACCTCAAATCAGAAGAAAATCCCGTTGATTTGGATCAGGTTCTAAGTCTGGGGTCGCATATGAACGCACCCTTAATTAAATCAATTTTTAACTACCTAAGAAATCTCTTCGAAAGTGACAGTGGTATACATAATGTAAGGAACAAATTATACAAAACCACAGTATGTCTCTACAATATGAAAGTATGTTAAGGTTTATTTGAGAATTGGTGAATTATTGTAGTAAAAAGAGGGTCTGTTATAAGAATTGTCGAACGAAAAGGGGGGGGGGGTCCTGTGGCTATCGAAAGGTGGCCTCCTGAAAAAACTGGCGAAGGACGCTTTGATCCAAATTCTGCAAAAAATTGCTAAAGTAGATCTATATCAAACGAACATCTACATTAGATTCTAACCAATTAACGTGAATTTGTAAATCGCAGAAGTCGTGTTTACGATGAAAAAGAGAAGCAAGACACGCAATGATATTGGGTATATCTTATTGTCACTGGATTTGTGTTTGCGCCTTGGGCACAATTTACATCATTTCTGAAGTGTTCTCTTTAGACTCTGTTTGTGTTAAGATCAACCTGAGATGTCAACGCCACAAAATCCCAACAGAGACTAGGAGATTCTGGGGAAATATGAGAACTTCAATCGAGAATCGAAGGTATGTGTAGCACAGACTCTCCAGGCCAGACACCGGTATGGTGCCCTTAGAAAAAACCTGGGTTTTCACTAAGTCGAATTAGACAGAAGTGCGCATTCGGCGGTTCCTACTGTGTGGGAAAAGGAAACAAAAATTGTGTTGGTAGAGGTAAAATATAAACACATGTCTTCGCGCATCACGATGACCGCAGCTCACAGATTCCTGTTCCCGTAAGACACAGCTGCAATCTTACTCTGACCCCCATGGTGACCTTGAATGTTGCACAGAGGTCAAGCAGTTCGAAATGAGATCTATGTTTTACTTTTTTCAGAGAACACCTGGGTGGGGGGAGGGGGGGGGCGTGCGTTTCCAGGGTAGAGACGAATCGGAGTTCAGCTAGAACTCTTTCTGTTGTATTGATTCAGAACAGTTTTAATAATGTAAGTAAAGCTGTGCAAGAAGCTGAGCCTATGATGTAAAGACTATTTCTTTGTCCGAGGGTGGTGAGCCTTGAACGTTCCCAAAACAATCACAGTTCAACAACGTCAATGGGAAATATATTTTTCTTGACAGAAAAAAGGTAAAGTGTCGTAGTTTTTATGAGAAATCCGTGAGCAAGCCCATTTCTGTTTATGTATTTTTTAAAGCGGTTTTTAAAAAATGTTCTTTAGTGTTTTTCTCTAAAGACTTTTAAAAACATTAGGACGCTGTTCACAAACCCAGGTTAAGAGAACGAAAAACAAAAACTTCATTTCGGCTATCATTACCCTGTGAATTGAAGTTGATACCAACGACCCTGGGTTGAATCAACAAAAAACAATCCAAAAAATGTTAGCATCTATAACATGGCGATTTCGACATTATTTCAAGGGAATGGCGTATGTTGTGGATAAATAAAAGGTGTAAAAACAATGTTTTTCGGACATGGATCAAGAAAACAATAGAACTGATTCCCAACGTTCAGTAGAGGAAATTGATTGGGTAAGTATTAAAATATAAAATTTGTGAGTCGAGAAAAGTTCGGAAATGCACATGGGAAATGCGAAACGGATCCATATCAACGGGGCAAAGTGATAGCAAAAATGATAAAATCATATTATAGCAGGAAAGATGTTGCTTAAAGAAAGCAAAAGGATTAAGACATTCCACGCTGGGAGTTGGTGGAGTTCAAAGTCAAAGCAGCTCCTTTAATTTCGTGTCTGGCGTAATACAAGAAAATAAAGCAGATGATATATCCTGACACTCTGCGGAACCTTCATTATGAAAACTAAAATGCATAGCATTAATGAGGCCATCAAAGTCAAATACTCCTCAAATACTCCACACAAGACAAACCCTGCTTAATGAAATAAAATGTAGAAAACGAAATACAATATTTTGGTCACTTACAGCGACATGAGACCTGGGTAAAGCAGCACATGCAACAGCAGCTCGCGACCGTGAAGGATGGTGGATCATCACACATCAACCTCTGAGTCAGAGATGACACCTCCAGGCAAGGCATAGGCAAAGGAAAAACGCTCAAGAGAGCGCAATAAACTGTTCTCTATATACCATAAACCTGTATTATTCTACCCAAGACTGAGTAGTTTGACGTAATTCCTGTTCACAATGGAGTGTACTTTTTGATTCTATTTGGAACCGAATAAAGGACAAGAGGAGAAGTTGTAATATTGAAGTTAAAGTATAACTACAGAAGGCATAAAGAGTGAATTGGTTGACGAACGAGTTGTGCTCGGTCTAAAGCATAGCGTGAACAAGCTCCAAGCGACTTTTGATTTCTATAAACAAAAAAAAGGTATCTTGCTGACACGTTCAGCGAAAGGAATTGTATTCTATTAACAGTTTGGTGTGTGTCTTTTTAAAGAATCTATATCATTTACAATATAGGCATGATCAGATATGCAGCACTTTCTTTACAACAAATCGTTTTTCTGTCTGTCTGTTTACAGTAAAAGGGTGTCTTATTCACAGAGTATTTCGGGTAGCATAAATTATTCGCTACTCTAGAATTACAAAGTTTTATCTGACATTTTTGGCCGTTCTGAGCTACTAATGTCATGAGATCAGAAACCACATCTTCTATCTCTTCTATCAAAATCGTGAGATTATTCGGAGTTGTTCTCAAGATTTTCAAAGAACTGCCTTCGAAAAATGTTGTGAAACGCAACATTTTTAGCGTCAACTTTCTCAAAACTAGGTACTGAGGAGATAAAACTTTGAAATTCTAGGGTAGCGTGTTCGTCAATGAACACAGAAGTGGAAGTGACCACCCTTGCACTCACCTGTTCAGATGTGCCACGCTATCACAGTGCACAGAAACGTTACTGCTCATCCCTTATATTGCAGATGAGAACTTTGGGCGGCGGTTCTTCCCCATGTTTGCACGTCTGCTAGGAAAGCCGTGAGGTCTGCCTCCCTTTAGAGCCACCACAGTTCTCTGTCCCTCTTTTGATATTTCATTTTCACTCTCAGCTTTCATTCTGCTGTTATCAGTTCCTCATATAGTTTGGCAATAGAGTGTGTATGTTTTTATAGGGAACGTTAATCCATTTTGGTCGTATGTCTTATTTGCCTTCGATATTTTTTTAAGCTCAGCTAACCAAATAAATCACCTTATTTTAAATGTGGGTATTTATGCCTCCATCGAGACAATTTAGGTCATTCCGTTTGATTTAGGAGGAGGATTTCGATAGTGACATATGAGGGCCAACCTTGGCTGAAAGGGAAGCAACGTTCCAGTATGAGAAACCGAAACAGGCTACTCGATGAAATTTCGCCCCACATGGGAACTGAACTCAGGACTTCTGTATGCGAGGGCAAAGAGACAAACCGCTTCACGACAGACACCGGTATACACAACCTCTGGAAGATGGTCCATATCTCAAGCTTTATTTAATACAACTCGGACTGAATCTTCTGTTATGGATGTTCTTTTACTTATTATTTTGACCAGCATCTGTAACAGGGGTCATGGGGTTTGCTTTTTAGCAAGCTGGGTCTTATATTTTATTCAAAGTTCTATTTTTTAAGACAGCGGAATTGCGAACAGTGGGAATGGGGAGGGGGGGGGGGTGGGTAGGAGTCTCCAGATTACATTTTGCAGCCATGCATTTTAACAGAAATCCTGGTTTAAAGATTAGCTCCACGTAACCTCCGTGTGGCAGTTCTAGATCGAAATATTCAAGTCTGTCACATTTAGACTCCCTAAAAAATTGTCTTCTCTTCTGGAGTCTCTCGTAACTCGGTATTCATTTTTATGAGAATCTGGGGACTGACTGGCCAGTCAGATTCATTGTTAACGTATGCGTGAGAAAGCGTCATGACGTTTCCGGTAGTTGGGGTCATAGTTTAAAAAAAAACACTATCACGTAGTGCTGACAAGACACTCTAGCGGGTGGATTGAGTTCTAACAGACAAGATTCCTGAAGAAGATAATAATTATAAGAGTCTTGATCAAAACAAAAGAAATAATTGTTTAAACGACTATAGTGGCTTCTGCTGTTGCCAAATAGACCAATTCTGGTAGAAACAAGATTTCTCCCAATTTGAGCATTTAGATCTAGAGTTTTATTTCCACTCCAGTTATTCATATTTTTTTAGATAGTCTGAAGGCAAAGGGACTGGGAAACTCACAAATTATCTCTTTTCACTCGAATCTCTGTTCTTTCGAACAGATATACAAGAACGCACATTTAAAAACAAATCTGTTGTTTCTCAGTGGCCTTACCCTTGCGTCAGAAATAATCTGAGAGGAAATCTTTAATTTTTCTCCTGTTTCTTTGGAGGGGGAAAACAGAAGAATGTAATGCGTTTGTAAAATAGGGGCGGGAATCGTTTTACAGGTTCTTTTATTTTTTAAACCTTCTATTAAAAAACAAAAGTAAGTTAAAAGAAACAAACGTTAGAAATAACTTAAGGACAACCTTTGTTGTTCCCAAACACCGAATTCTGATGCCAATCGCTGGTGAAAGTAGGGCAAACAAATATAAATATTATTTCATGTCGACAGCAAAAAGATAGGACAATCTACGATTGAGTGTGTGTGTGTGTGTGTGTGTGTGTGTGTGTGTGTGTGTGTGTGTGTGTGTGTGTGTGTGTGTGTGTGTGTGTGTGCATGTGTGTGTGTGTGTGTGTGTGTGTGTGTGTGTGTGTCTGTGTGTGTGAGTCTGTGTGTGTGAGTGGAAGAGAGAGATATAGATAGAGAGAGAATGACAGAGAGAGAGAGAGAGAGAGAGAGAGAGAGAGAGAGAGAGAGAGAGAGAGAGAGAGAGAGAGAGAGAGAGAGACAGAGACAGAGACAGAGACAGAGACAGAGACAGAGACAGAGACAGAGACAGAGACAAAAAGAGAGAGAGTGAGACGGAGAGATAGGCAGACAGACAAACAGACTGAGAGGGTGAAGGGAGGGAGAGTGGGGGAGGGAGAGAGGGAGAGAGAGAAAAAGAGACTGAGAGGGAAGAGAAGAGAGGGACAGTATCATTATTTTTTATAGCCCTCTGCCTCTTTTTATAATATGAGCAAACCATATTGATTTTCTTGTTTTTGCCGTTTCAATCAGCTTTTAGTAATTGCTGAAGGCATATGAGATTTTATCTTTTATTTCAGTGCTGGTCACACAATATTGGCTGTCTTTGATCCCTAAGGGCTGGTGATATAATTTCATTTCAAACAAATCAATTCTTCATTCAAGTTCTCTGTTAATTGTACATTTTGTACATGCAAACGAGAAGTTGGAGATTATTAGGAAATGTAGGAGTCATGGAAAACTGCAAACCTAAAAACAAAGGATTGTGGAATTCAGTTAATAAAGATAACGAAGAAGGTGATGTCCATTTAAGTCATTAAGGCCTTCACGGGCAAAATATGACAGGGAACTGCAGGTGGCTGGAGGGTGTCACTTATGTCGTGCTATCCCAATATTGTTTCTGTCCTTCTGTCTAACTTTTCTTCTGTCCTCTCTGATCAGCTTTTGTTTTGTCCTTCTGACTAGCTTTTCAACGCGTGATGATCATTACCATGTCGGTATGCTTCTCTTCCATAAAAAAACAGCTTCAAGATAAAACTAGCTTATAGGTACAAGACTATGGTTTAGCCTAGTACCGCACTGCGATAAAAAACATTGGCCAACGGTTTTATCGATAACTTTTGGACAATGAAAATAAGAGAAGCATGACTAAATAACTGTTTTGGGTTGGTGCGGTAGGCTTCTCTAACCATTGGCAAACCGTTTCGTAGCAATGCAATACTCGGTGGCAAATATGAGAAACGTTTCGACACGGCAGTGATAATTAAACGCATTGGAAAAGCTCTATAAAAAGACACAGACCCAAATGAGGTATTTTGAGGAAATATCAATGTATGGTATCATTCAATCAAAGGCAATTTCTAAGAGAAAAAATAGCAAGGAAAACGATGAACAATGATGAAACATTGGCAGAAGTTGGGGGAATACTGAACTAAACATTTCTGGCATATTTTATCTCTAAAGTAAAGAACTAATATTTTGAGTCGAGCAACAAAATATGGTTTAAATTTACCCCCCCCCCCCTCCCCTTCGATGAAAACGACATTCTGGCAAACAAACCTTGCTTCTCGAGCAAACAAGCCTTTTTTAAGGTAACCACATCTGGAGAATATGTCTCTCAATTGCATGGCATCAAGGCAAAATTCAGGCGCTCGTCGAAATAATTAAATCAAAGAAACCGACATTTTTCCACCTGATGGGAAATTATAATCGATTTTTACTCCGTGTTTATTTAATTTTTAAAAAATGTATTTATCTATTTTATTTCTTTGTTGGGGGGTGGGGTCTTTTGGCCCAAAACTTATGTCATTTGAGAACATATTTCTGTGTGGATTTTAGAAGGGGAAGAAAAAGCTTGGATGAAAGGCAAAACAAAAATGTGAATTAGCAGTTTCCAAAATCTCTCAAGCTTTGGAAGTCACTAAACTATAGCGGCCATTTTCTTGCAAGTTTTACCTCTGACACTAGACGACCCACACCTCCTTCAATTGCAAATAGTTTTACTTCTATTCAAGATAGATGGGAAATTGTTTCAGCCCTAAAAGGGTAAATTAAATAATAAAAGCTTTTAGCTGATACCAATAAACTCATATGCCCACAAATTGATGACAGACTGATTCCACCGTGCCATGGCACATTTTATAACTGTGGCCTTCAAGGACTTCGTCATTGTTCTGGGACAAGCTATTTTTTTCTTTTCCCGGATCTCTCTCTCTCTCTCTCCCCTCCCTTTCCCCTCACCCTCTCCCCCGCACGCCAAGCATCTTTATTTTTTACCACATTGATAAAGAACGTACTAACAGAATATATAATAGGGCCCGTCACAGGCTTGAATTGAAATATCCTATATCAGGCACTGTCATGGTCGCCACTCTTTGCTCTTTGAAAAGCATCTTTGCACTGGTGTGTACTATGGCAGCGCAAATGAAAGGCAAAACACCAGTCTCGCCATAGTGTATAATAGTCCGGTGTTCTCGAAAGGTTTCATTCCTTTCCCGTCGATTAGAGACATTATTTTTCTCTCCTCCAGAATCGCGCAAACAACAGCTGCGCTGTCAAAACTGAAGCCTATTAAGGCAGGACAGAAACATCACTCTCAACTCGAAGATCAGACTAATTCGCTCACAAGTCATCTCCATATTTTTATACGTCTGTGAGTCGTGGACACTGACAGTAGAATTGGAAAAAAGGATTCAGACTACAGAGATGAGATGTTACCGCAGACTCCTTGACATCTCATACAAAGACCACATTTCAAATACTGAGGTACGGAACAGAATTACAAACTCAGTGGGGCAGCATGAAGATCTACTGACCACAAGAAGAGAAGAACATTAAAATGGTATGGGCATGTCACAAGATCCACAGGACTTACCAAAACAATCCTACAAGGAACCGTACAAGGAAAGAGAAAGAGAGGAAGGCAGAGAAGGAAATGGGAGGACAATATCACAGAGAGGACAGGGAAGAAAATGTGTGACAATCTGAGGAAAGCAGAGGACAATGAGAAATGGCGAGAGCTGGTTTTCAGATGCAGTGGTGCCCCCACGGTTGCCCCAACCATGGGATAGGAGAAGAAGAAGAAGAAGAGCCATTTTTACCTGAGAATCGCAAAGTTCTATCTGGTATTGTTGGCCGTTTTGAGTTACTAAGACCATGAGATAAAAAACCAAATGTTCTATCTGCTCTCTCTACCAAAATCGTATAATTATCCAGAGTCGTTATCAAAATATTCAAAGAATTGCCTGCGAAAAAGCTTGACATGACGTGGTGAAACTCAAAATTATTGACGTCAATTTCTCAAAACTAGGTACTGAGCAGACAGAACTTTGGAACTCTGAGGTGGC